TGTCGGATCTGCCAACCTTTGCTAAGTCGAAATTTATAAATGCATAGCTTTGGAAAAAGGCACACTTCAAGGAGTTTTACGTCACTAGAGAATACCTGACTGGATACGCATCTGCCTATTATTAATGTTAAGACCTAAGGAGGGAAGTACACAGATGAATAAACAACTTTTTTTCAATTCAGTTTTATTAGGGAAATATAGGTAAATACCTTTGAGCTCCCTCTTTGTAAATAGCTATGATGCAGAACATGTTGCGTTGCAAGTGATGGAACTGCGGTAGGGGGGCAGACGGTAAAAAAAACTCCTTAGGCATCTTGCATAAGTCTAGTTTTGAATGCCATTTGTGGCATTTTAGGAGATAACCGTCGCCCGTGGGGATAAGGCTTAATTTCTGTTTATTTATAAGATCAAATCGTTAAATTTTGCAGAGTAATTGGAACCCAGCGTCACCTTCCGGCAGATTTTCTGCCTTTGTCCGCAAAATATTATGGCATCTCACGGGACCACACAAAATTTGTATTACGTCAGGCTACATCATGCATCCCGGAGTTTCGTTCTGCCCCCCTCATAAGAATATCTCCTTTAGGTTGTCCGATCGATAAACCAAAATCTATTGGTAAACTTACTTAGCCAGATCAGTGTATTTTCATATGATTAATTTGGCTACAGGTCTTAGGGCAGTGTCATTTGTCACTAAACAGCTGTGAGTCTGACGGTTCAACACCTGAAAAAAATATGGCTGACATGCATGTAACTAAAGCGGATCGTCGGATTCACAGAAGCGTGTAACGTTATTTTTAGGCCTGATGAAGCGATTATGGCAATGGCAGTTTAAGCCTCATTCAAATCAAATTGGCTCCGATCTCCTCTTCTATAAACCAACAAAGTATTTGTTTTGGAGACCGAAGGTAAGCATTATCTGCTCAGCTCACAGACTGAGAGTTCGGGTCCTATGTGTCTCTCAAAGGGTTCGCAGTCATGCTGGCATTTGAGATCATAATTCATGGTTCAGCTTCTATTCAGCATCATGTTTCGGTTGTGCTTTACATTTATCACCATATTACAATGCATGTTGAATAGGTTACGATGGCAGAGGAAGGCAACAGGTTGCGTAGTGCAGATGCTTTTGTACTTGCTCTTCGTGTAGAAATCAACTAGAAGACTGAAATGTCTATTCGAGGCATGCCCACTGCAAGTCAGGGTTGTTCACTTAGCCTCACGGCCGATTAATAACGCTTCATTTCGCAGCAGATGATTACTGGCTTCATCCTCCACGCGAATTCACTCTTTTTGAGTTTTCTAGGTGGTGGCTGAATAGTTTTAAAGTCATGCAAAAGCAGTTAACCTTGCACCCCTAGATGCAGAGTTCGGGCGTTTAAGCAAAGGTGCAAGACAAAGATTCAACTAGATGCATGTCAAAAGTGCGCTCTCATCCAATCGTAGACCGGGACGCGGTTACCGTACGGCCTTTAGTTTACATAAAAGTGTAAACAACTGCGCAACTGTAGCTCTTCAGCAGTACACCGAAGATCACAGACAAATACACCCACAAGATGAGGGTTGAAGAAACACCATGCATATGTCTTAAGAAAGACCCAGGCGCCTGTGACGAGAAACCCTACTTCATGCGCAAAGACCTCAATGAGAAATTGGAGTCCTTTTTCCTGGAGATGGTGGTTCATGCCTGTGAGAGCTATGATGATGACGAATTACAACTCAGCACATCCATTAAGCAGTGCCTGGATCACAAGTTTGGCCCTGAGTGGCATGTGATCGTGGGAGAAACTTTTGGCAGGTCAGTTGTTCCCACTGTGTCCTTCATGCCCAGCGTGTATGTTTCCTTATGAAGCTTCGCCACCAATATTACCTCCTTGCGTTTGGTTTCTATCTGTTTGTCTATACGACCATTCTCAGATCGATAATTAGTCCTATTAGACGATACCAACACGGAATTCAGCCAGTGTGATTTGAATGCATACTTAAGATTTCCTAGACATACCAGGCTGTATATGTCGGGATCATCTCAAAGTTATGCGCCTGTAGGAATTCAGCATAGGCAGAAGTATTTTTGAATTGGCATTGTATTTGTCAAAATTTGCTAACCTATTGTAGGGCTATGGTTTGTAGTTGTCTGTTCCTATAACAGTGTAGACGGTCTAGTAAGTTTTCAACATAGTTTTAAATCCAAGATTTTCTCCACCCAATTTAGCAAATGTGGGATAAAAGAGTGCTCTGATATCGAAAACACCTTACTACTGTGCCTAAACATATTCTGAAACCACTGCCTTGTTCAATGGAAGTCGTTGAACCGCTTTCCACAAAGTAATTGTCTTTTCCATATGGTGCGTATGTAACTTTCAAACTAAGTACAGAATTTAGCGGTTTTTCCTGGGAAGTTTGCCCTATTAAGTGAAAGGCATTGCGACAGATTATCGAACTTACGTTATGCGAACTTATCTGGGGCATTTGAAACAATTTTTCTCGCATTCAAAGTTTTGAAGAAATAGGATGCGATGGGAATTTACCATCACAGATCTCTAGGATGTGCATTCTCAAGTCAATTTGTAAATTTCTAATTATTTTCCTTTCTATATCACTTACAGAAGCGTAAACTTTCAAATCTTATCTCCACTAATGGTTGCTACACTAAGCTATCAGCCATAGGTTGAACGCTATACGTATAGGCGTGTCTATATTTATCCGAAGGTGTGTACATCTGGATAATATAATTGACTCCAACATATATATCTCAGGGGTTCCGAGACTCGAATTTAGGTATGACTCGCTAACGACGGCTTAGAAAATGTTAATAATTTTTCTAAAAACGTGTGAGAATTGAAGGACACTGCTGATAATTTTTCTTCGTTAGTTAAATATAAGCTCTTCTTCCTA